ATCCGCAAGAGGCTAAACACTTGGCTTAGCACCAAGGTGAAAAAAGACGATATATGAGCAAGTCTGCTCCCTCTGCTCTTACTTTTTTCCTATACTTAAAGTGCTGTGAAGACTTTTTGACTCTTTATGAAATCCACTGAAATGAATACTGATGCCTCAATACGACCTACAAAACCGAATGAGACCATGAGCAACAAGATTGATCATTTGAAGATGGTTATTTTTTAATGCTTATTACTGCTGATGTCAGGTATATGTAGCAACCTATGGACGTTACAGAACAATCCAGAAAACAGTCTTTACATTTTCTACAAAGAACTATCTCAGTGATACGACTGTTTAAAAGACAGCAAGAAGAGGTTATCCATCAGAAAACACCACTTACACATGTACAGGACAAGCTCAGTAAAGAGTTAAGAGGTTTAGCTTTGTCCATAGGGGTGCGCCAAAAATGACATGGACAGACAGTTCCTCACAGGAGCTTTAAGCCAATCAAAAAGTATAAATGACTGTGTAGTAAAAGTCCCATATTCAGAATTTGTGTCTGTAGGAATATTTTGACATTTTGTGATGTGTATATGTAAGTTGTTGCTTGGTCTGTAAACTAAAATATGAAGCTACTTCAGATTTGATCTTAAGACAGAGCCAAGCCTGAGCTAACTGGACGCTGATCTCTTGCATTCATATTGTCTCACATGTGAGACTAGTGACAGGAAGTTGCAGGAAGACTAGAGAAATGTAAGTCTTCAGTATCAATTCTAAAAGTTCATACATTTCAAACACCTACATAAATCCTCATATTACCGTAATGACTATATTACATCATTAGATTAGCACTATGACAGTTTAGCAGTAAATTGGTGTAGATTACTGAGGTAGTCTTGAAGTTAAGTTTTATTTGCTGACTAATCATCACATTTTTTTATAAACTCCATACACAAAGTATTTCAGAATTATACTTAACAACAGAGCTTAAGTAAATGTACAAAACATCACTTAACCAGGGTCTGCATTTTATATAAAATATTTAATCTTTGTACATGTCACAATTAATTGTAGTAATTTACACAGCTGCGCGGTATAATAACAACACTGTTAAATAATGAAACAGTTATCAGTATAAAAAGGAATGTTTTCATAGATTGAAACATTTGAGATAAAACATGATTTACACTCTACAGCCGTTGATAATATCTTCAATATTATTTACATGATAGAACACTGTGTGGGATGATTGGCCCTCACTATTGGTAGCAGATGACATTTCTGTCTGCAGAAATAAAAAACATGCATATAAAAAATGTGAATGAACAGCAAAGGCATAACACTGTGATGGGAGTCTGCTTCGCTGGTGATTTTCGCTCGTGTAGACTTCTAAAAGAAGAGCAAATGACAAGAAGCATGTAATGTAAACAATAAGCTAGGACATGATGTGCAGTGCGTGTCTGATTCTGACCTCTAACGGTCACACTGGCCTACATCAGAGGAAAACATAGTGATCACTATAAGCTGCAGCTGTGAGGGTCCACTTGAGGAACAAGAAGGATTAGTCACCACGCTGGAGTTCGTCTGTCAGAAGGTTCCAGGTTGAGGCGCCGGATCACAGCCAAAGAAGTAAGTTGCAGGGCAGATCATTTTTCATGTATTTCTTGTAAACTTTAAGTTATTTCAACAGGAGGCGCAGTGTGAGGCTGTCTGTCCAAAGAATGCAATTTGTTTTTCATCTCGCTATTTGTTTGTTTCCCCATTTGCATTACATACATCATATCAGATTTTTAGATCAAAACCGTGGGCCGCTTTCCCAACCAGATTTTTTCCGCTCAAACATGTTTTGACATATTTTAGGATCCAGGAGTTCATGTATTTCATGTAGTTCATGCTATCTGCCTGTCTCCCATCACCACTGTTTTCACATCTAACACACCATTTATTTACAGACAAAAACACAAGTTTGTGATTGGTTAAGCTCTTAAAATGACCTGTCAGTAGGAAAAACAGCAGGAATAACGTTCCACCCAGTCTTACGATTATATGATAAGAGAAGTTCATACACTCGCCATCTTACAGGATAAATTTGACATTTCTTGGTTTTCTGCTCATATTTGGATGAAGAGATCGATGCTGCTTTTATAGATTTGCATTCATTCTATAATTGTTTGTGTGTATGGCCGCTTAGCTTGGCTTAGCTCAAAGATTGCAAACAGCAAGCCGGCTTTGTCAAAAAGTTTCAAAATACACCTACTCTCAGTGATTAATCTGTGAAATCCGTAATTAGTCTGCTTTGGTGCCTAAAGCTCTGAAGCTCACTAATTACTTTCACCTAGGAGGTTCTGTCTTTGGTGCTGTTTGTTTGTCTGAAGGATTCAGGGAGACGCTTCTATTCTGGGAGATTGGGGTGTTTGGAAGTGTATCAATAAATACTGTATAGTAGTAGTATCACCTGCACAATTGCACATTGTGGAAGATGTGTAAGCCTGTGCTCTTCAGTGTCCTTCTGGTTGATGTTAAATTACTGTTTTCTTCAGATGTCCATACTTCCATGGACACAGTTTGGTTTATTTTAAACAGAGTCAGGTAAGCTTTTTCACCTTGTTTAGAGTATTTGGGCTAAATTATTTTTAAATAGTTTCATATTCGACAGATTAAAGGCTTCAACTCAAGTTGTTCAAATGTTTTCAGAACTGTTGGAGTCTGTAATGTACAGTAGTATATTTACAACCGATCCATTAGTGTTGGGTTTAAACTACAATTCACTTAGCAGACGCTTTTATCCAAAGCAATGTACATCAGAGAGTACAACAGTAATCCATTCATACACTGCCACTGAAGCAGCGGGTTAAGTGTCTTGCCCAAGGACACGTTGCTCAGCTGGGGATCAAACCCTCGACCTTCCGGGTTGAGAGGCGACGACTCTACCAACGAGCCACAGCCGCCCCAACTGAGTCATTATTAACAACTCCTTTTCTTGAAATTAAAGATAGCACCATTGACTACAAAGAGCTCTCCCATCGCCTCTATGAGACGACCTAAAGAGTACATTTGAGCTTCATCGAGACAAACAGTAGAGGACATTTTATACATATTCACAGTCTGAAGTTGTTGCCTTTAAAATGAGGACAGTTACTAAATTGATGGTTCTCCTAAAGGTGAGTTCTAGTGTAGACAGGTTTGATATATCTGCCAATATTTCAAGTAACAGGATACGGTCCAGTTTTCCCCCAAAGGGGAGTCTTTGGTTGTATGACAACAGTGAACATATCTCTCGATGTCACAGCCGGCCTGTTCACCCAGTCAAGAGAAGGCACCGAGGAAGGAGGACGAACAGTCAGAACTCCGGCCCAAACAGGTAACAAGAGGGGTCGTTGGTGAGGAGCAGATAAGTCTGCTGACCGAATAAGTCTCCCTTAAACACTCCAGATTGTGAGTGTTGTGATGAACAAGAGGAGAGTCTTGACAGGGAGCTTCTCTTTTATTCAAACACAGAGACATGTTTCTGTAAAGCAGAAGAAGAGTCTTAGCATGCAGGAACAAACAATGCTTTAAAGCTAAACAAACCACAGTCTTTACCTTTTTAAAGGGTGAGTTCAATAATATTTGACTTTACAGAGTCTCTTCCATCTTCTTACTTATTTAAAAAGATAAAAAGGAAGCCAAGGAAACAACATTCTGTAAGCTATTTGTGGTGATTGGACATTTCTGTGTATTTTTCCTTGTTTGGTGCTTGTGTTTTTTTTCTTTCAGAGGCTGGGCGTGGCTTATTGGCTGCTGGAGCTCTCTGCAATCACTCACCTGTTCGTCATCTGTAATCACCGGCTGCAGCATTTATACCCTGGTTCAACTCTCCCAAGCTGCCAGATTATTTCCGCCTACACCGTGGTAGATCGCCTTTTAAGTATCAGTAGACTTTTTTTGTGCTTTGAATTACCCATCACTAAATAGTCCCTTGTCTTCTTTTTTCCCCAGTGCCTCCAACCAACGAGCTCCAGCGCTTCACCACCCAGCCTCACTTCAATAAATACCCCTTTACCCACCACCCTGTTTTCCGATCTTGCTTTTGGGTTTAAGATCATAACACTATTAGAAAATCCATAATAAGAAAAATATGTTTATTCTCTGTATTTCAGATGAATACAAATTCTAACAATTCCGTTAGAATTGTTGTCCTTCATAAGGGAACAAATCATCATCGGTCATTTACAAACATTTCTAAACCTCAACTGCCTTCTTCAAAATTAAATTGTTCCATTAGTTCATGCTCAATCTGATTAAAGAAAACAACTGTAGCTGTTAGCGGTTGGTTCCCTCATTATGTTGTACAGAATCTAATTAGTTTTAAAGTATATTTAAGGTCACATATTATGCTAAATACACTATTATATAATAGACCTTTTTTAAAGTCTGTTATGTGTCCTTAGCCTGTCTTATGCCCCCCAATCATAAGAAAAGTCCATCACCTCCATCTTTTGCCTGCTCCACTTTTCAGAAAATGTGTGCTCAAAAAGGCCATTTTGAGATTTTCCCTTCATGACATCACAAAGGGCAGTAGCCCCTCCCCCAGGTGGGTGACACTCCCACAGCTAGGTGTTTGTTCTGCCCTCTGAGTCTGACTTCTCATCGTAAACAATTGGGCGTGGTGCAAGAAAGTCTGAGCCACCCGAGCCCTTCCAGAGAGGGGGCGTGGTCAGACACAGCTCATTTACATATTTAAAGGTACAGACACAGAAACAGCCTGTTCTGAGCAGGGCTGAAATAGAGGGGTTTATAGGCATGATCAAATACAGGATCAGAGTGGATTTTTCGGAAGAAACTTCACAGGCATATTTTGGAACCTCTGAGACTGATTTAAAGTTGTTGAAAAGGAGGATTATATGAAACCTTTAATTGTATGGTTAGGGGCTCAAAATTACAAACTCTAAACCTCTAAAAGACAAACAAAAAAGAAAGAAACTGCTACACGGTCATATAAAATGAAAAAGTACCTTGTTGTTCACAGGAGAGTTTCATGCCTGTGCAGAGGAGCTCTCCCTGCGGGTATCCAGGACACTGCAGAAAAATATAAACAAATACCAATAAGATTTCATCTTTCTAAGTGAGTTTGTTGCTTTATTTACTCAACAAGTACACAGAGTTGTATCTGGCACACAGAGCGGTGATCTACAGCCAGATACAACTTAAAAGCACGACATACAAACACACTGCCACTGCCAAGCTGCTGGCAGACGACTTTTTCTTCTAATGGCTCCTGCCTCACCAAGACTCCTTTATCTTAAACTCACTTCCCTCCTTCCTCCTTCCCCCCCCCCCCCCCCAGACTTCTTTGGCATGTGTTTATCTTTTTTTTACTACAAAAGGTAAAAGCTAGAAAGGCACTCACGCTTGATGTTGCCGTACGAAATCTGCAAACTGCCGGTCCTTGGCATAGAGCTCAATAATTCGTATCCTGTCTTGGATTTCCTGCAAAAAAAAAAACATGATAGCAGTCTGGTTAAGAACATTACATCACAGGCATATGAAGAGTTAACTACAGGCTGTCAAAAGCTGATTAACATCATGACACATTTAACCTTCCAAATAGATGCACTGATTTTTAAATGCCAGCTGGTGAACTTTACATCCTAGGTTTTCCAAATTAAAACACTTATCAGATAAAATTAAAAGGAAATAAGAGTGATGTTCTATGCTTTTGTCATTAACTACTTTCAAACATTAGAACATTAGGAATTGTATGTTACATGAGAAAATACATTTCCACAAAAAAGCGTTAATCCAGTTCACATTAGGCCTGTTAAATAACAATATGCCTCTTTTTGTCTCAGTTCCAGCAGTTTGATGACCCTAAAGCAGTGTTTATTTTTGTTCACTTCAATCTTAATTTATCAAAATGTTCTTCAGATATGCCTCTGGGACTGGAAGTGATGATATATTGACTGACTAACTGGTAGAATGTATACATCCTAAAAGCAGATACTGTATAAAACATGGTTTTAGTTTCTAAAGGGGCAAATATGAAGGCCAGCGATGGCAGTCCCCGTATTGGAAGCAGGCAAAGAGGTGGAGTTAAAGCAGTAGGAATAAATGTCTTATTTGCTGAAACACAGCCATCTAGCTCATCAACAAGCTAGTACATTCAAAACATGAAAACAGCACAAACAGAGCTAAGAGTTCATGGCCAGTAACAGGATTTGGATAGTCATGCCTCGCCTCCTGGCAAACAACTAGAATGCCCGCATGTCAGTCATTACAGCCACCTTATTATGCCTAATTATGCATAACTCTTAGCCTTGATATAATCAAAATGTATGATGTAAGAGTTCAAGTTTACAAATTAAGAAATTAGCTATTAGAACCAAAACTGTACAAGACTGTAAACATTTAGATTTCTGCTGCAAAAATTGGCCAGGGGATTTCTTGCTTTCTGAAGTCAGCCTCAAGTGGACACTCAAGGAACTGCAGGGTTTTTTTCACCTCTGCATTGGCTTCATTTTTCAACACAAGAGGTTTTTCCTTGCTTAAAATTCAGACCTCTGAGGTCGAGGGTTGTCACCTTTTATGCCATCATTTTATGTTGATATGGGTCACACTACACTGAAAGTATAAAATAATGAACTTATCATCACAGCAGCCCAGCAGCCTATCCTGATTGGCTGGTAAACATTAAAACGTTTTTTCAAAGGTCATGGGATTGAAATGCTGCCTTTATGTGGCTCTCTTCTAAATCAAGTGGTGGGTCGCAGCAAACACACACCTCCTTGGTCAGTTCACTGTTCTCATAAATGTGTCGTATCTCCTCGCTGCTGAAGTCAGTGGAGGCCTCTGCGCTGGCACTGCTGTACACCAGAGCTTCAGGGTAGCGGCGGTAGTAGTGGCTGTAACCTGTGGTGGCCTCGCTTTCGTACATGGGGTTGTACTTGGTCGCCCTTTCCAGAGATGGCAGACTCTCCGCTCGCCTGCAAAGCAAAACCAAAAGAGAGAAATCAGTCCCAATGCAGCGCCTTGATGATAAAATAATCGACCTTAACCTTGGATGTGGCGGTGCATTTCTGCCGGATCCAGATCCGGATCTTTCAGGCTTTTTTTTTTTTGAGGTGTTAAAGGCTTTTTAAGAACAGATTAGCACCATTTCTGATCAGTTAATTGGCTGAGGTTAGCAAAAGGTTTCTCCACATGGTGCTCCGGGAACCACGCCACACGCACTCACAGCAGGATAATGAACAGATACTTATGTGTGTTAACGTCTGCAAAAAGGAGAGAAAACAGGAAATAGAGGTTCAAAGCCGGACAGTAGGAGAGATCAAAAGAATGGACAGGAAGGGGGTTTGCCCAACGGCTGTAAAGGGTTAGGGTTAGGCAAACCTCAATCTGACAGGGAATATTTGTTATGATTTAGGTTTCAGTAAGCTTGTGTTTATTGGTGATGCTTAATGTGTGTGAGAGACAGAGTGTTTTTGTCTGTGTGTGTATTTGAGCTGGCATTTGAGACAACTGAAATACACATATATCTATTGACAACAATACAGCGTGAGTTCTAAGGTCCTATCCAACAATCAGGTCGTACAGTGTGAGCACATAAATCGTGAGCTTTTGTCGCAGATCATAAACGAAATCAGTCATTCAGTATGAGCTGATATTCCCCCATTAATTTAATACAACCAACAGTGTATGCAGGTCTTAAGTCTGCAGGAGACTCTGAGGATACAGTCATGGGGTGTGTCAACTTATTTTCATCCAAAGACTAAATTGAAGTTTTTCTGTTCATGATGAATGAGAAAAGTAAAGTTTGTGTAATTTCATAAATTAAGTTAAAATCTTTTGGCAGCTGGAGAACAATCGTCTTGTTGGTTAACTCATTGATAACTTTGTAATATAGCAATGAGTAAGGTCTTTTACCTGCTTTTTGTAAAGTGTCTCGAGATAACAATTGTTATGAGTTGACATTATACAAATAAAAATTGATTGATTGATTGATTGATTGATTGATTGAACATACAGTGCATTTAAAATAAAATAAAAACAGAGGTCATATGTAAAACAGATATAATGTAATTGACTCCATAGTGTCTTGATTCCTCCTCTTCTGTTATTATTTTAACACAATGTAAAGATGGATGAAGTGGTTTATCAGTTGAATAAAACGTTAAATATGGGAAAACTTTGCACCACTGTTACCCACGGATGACTAAACAAAACAAAAAACCTGGAATCTGGAATTGCATACTGTAAAGTAGCAAAGAGTTATGATAAATTAATTTGATAAAGACTTATGACGGATGGAAAGAGTCAGAAATGTATGCCCTCAATCCCTCCGATTAAAGTTTACTTACCGGTGCGTCCACCTGAAATAAGTTTTTCTAGTCTGTGTTGTTAATACAATGAGTCATGGATTATCTCATTAATGTGTCCGACTCCTTCATTAAGGTAACAATAGGTACTTAAGCTGCTCCTTACCTTATGGGGTCCTCTGACTCATCCTTGTCATACTGATCCCGTAACGTCCTGGCGAGGAAGAAGATGACTCCGGAGGCCACCAATAGGAATCCAGCTACTGAGGCGATCGCTATGCCAACCACGAGTGGCTCGGATACATACTCCTCGCAGTGCTCCCCTCGGTACCACCAGTTCTCCCCAACACGACACCTGAGACAACGAGTTCAGGAAATATTAGCAATATCTTAGAATAAGTTCCAAAACTAGAACTTACTTTCCTAAAACTTTAGAGACAAAATGTACAACACGACTTGCATAACTCTTATTTTGTTTTTATTCTGTGAATTTCTAAAGAATATTAAAAAATAAATGAATCCTCATGTTACGTTTTCTCTTGAACTGGTTATTAACGTGTATAATTGTAATGTTCTGTATGTGTCATAAAATAATGATTTCCTTGTTTGTGAATGTGCAATAATTCAAAATATTTCCTTCCTGTTTCTACGGAACAACACAGAGCTTTCAGTGGGACAATCATGATGTGAAATCAATAAGAATCCATGAGCATCTGGAGCTGCTTGCGTGTTTTATGATGTTAGTTTGAGTGTGAAACAGAGGTTACTGCTTGTCTTGGCCTGGCTAATGTCCTGTTTGTTTGTTCATAATCATTTCATCTGAAGTTCACTTTACACAACAAGTTTAAGCAAAGACAGCTTTCTGTCTCTGATTTGGATTATTGGGATATCTTCTGTCACATTTAACAGACAAAATCCTCTGAAAAGTCTGTGTTGGATATGGAAACACATGCACAAACACACACACATGAAAACAGTTGAAAAGCAAGCCCAAGTATTATTTTTTTTTATATATAAAAATGAATTAAACTTATCTTCAATAAAACAAAAATGAACAATATTTAACTGAACAAAAATGTGATAATGTGCATCCTGGGGCTGAAAACAATGCATCACAATAATAATCAATTATGACTTCCCAGACGGATCTCATTGTTTCCATTTGTAATTCTTTACTGCCAGAGGGATGGACTAAATGAAAAAAGGTCAAGTGCCAAAGATTTTAGTACAAACAGCAAATCTTGTTAACTTTATATTTTTAAAAACACGTTATCCAGGCAAATAAAGCGTGCGGGTGATGGTTGATTGTTGCTTCAACATGGTGTAACTTAAATCTGTATTCTATCTAGTTGGCTGTGGTTGTAATTCCTTAGACTAAAACAATGGTTCCCAACCTGCGGGGCAGTAGACTTTGTCTGCTATGAGGTCGTCTAAAATAGATTTGCATACCTGAAATCAAATCATAACTTACTGGATAGTTTATACAGAGGTCTTTTGGTAAGAACAAGAGTGTTCATGCCTATTCTAATAGGAATTTATCTATTTAAAAAAAGTAAATAAAAGTACATTTAAAAAGGAATTTTTGACAGTAATGTATCACTTTTTTTCGTGGAGGTTCAACTTTTTCTAAGATACAAAAATAAAGGTCGGGAACTACTGGACTAGTACACAAATTGAAGCTCCTGACAATGATCAGCCAATCTAAAAAGAAAATGCTAATGAACACATTCTTGTATTGCATTTTGATATTGCATATGTCATCTTTCTGATCAACATTCAGCCGAGCAGTATCACCAAGAGCCTCCTGCATGAGCTGTGACAATGTGTTTGAAAATCAGTTCAGACTTCCCAGAAACATTGGTCCTGCAAACCTACAAACTCACATGCAAACACACATGCTTATCATTTCCAACTAATCCCCACCCACCTGCAGATGGCTCCCTGACCGGGGATGATGTCACACTTGCCGTCATTGAGGCAAAAGTCTGTCTGCAGGTCACAGATACTCTGACAGGGCAGGCCATCCACACTGAAGTAGCCCGCGTTACAAACACACTCCGCCTCCCCCGACCACCTGTTGACTTTACACTCGGCATACTCGTTGCATGCCTGAAACTTACAGGGGTCAGCTCTATCACCTGTAGACGAGAAAACCAATAAGTGCCAAGTTTAGGGTTTAGGAAGAACTTCAAAGAAAGACATTTGCTGAAGTTGTTAATGGTTCTTCTTGTTAGAAGAAAGTAGTTTGTGAGGTCCATAACTGATCCATGTTTATAATACACAAACTGTGTTAAACCAGAGCTGCACATAGTAATCAGTTTGTCAAAATGCAGTTAATGATGTGTGCTAAGTGCTAACTTGGCGGCTGCCCATGAAAGCCAAGATTAACTCATCATCTGCTGATGAGACCGTGCCGTTTGCCTCTTAAATTCAGGAAGTGTCACGACAGGGCTTCAACAGCTGCTTTCCCCAGCCGTTTGACACACTAACACATGTTCACTACAAACTGGATGCAGATTCTTTACAAAGCTCTGTTCGTCTTTACAATATAATGTTCTTTTATCCCACTGAAAACGTTTAACATTTTGGTAAATATGCTCTTAAATGAAAGAAGTAAGATAAACGCTTACATCTGTACCTTCAATTAAAACTACATCCAACAACTCCAACTAATCCTGAGTGTGTGTTTTTTACATTTGGATGGAACTAGGCTAGCCCTTTTTACCTACTGACACCCTTTTTCTTACTAGTTTAATTAACCGTCAGCTGGCTCATTTCCCGACATACCAAACATTCCTTTAAGAACTAATGCTAACACAGGGGTTGTCTAGATCGAAGCACTTTTAAAAACACTACAGTGTACAGAGCTGAGAACCCACCTGACTCCACGTCCAGTGAGTACTTATCGATGGCCAGGTTCATGGTCTGGTAGGCTGTGTTACAGAAGTCTTCCAGGATCAGATAAACGGTGCTGGTAACGGCTTGCTGCACAGGCTTGCCAAATTTCATCCGACTGTTGACCACGATGCTCCCGTTCCTGAAGTTCAGGATCTCCAGGTTCTCAAAGTTAGTCAGGTTAGACTGCAGGTAGGGAACAAGCTGGGGAAGATTACAAAAGGTACAGTTTTAAGTTGAAAGCGGAGGCCTTGACACAGTGGTAATACCGATAACGACAGGTACAGTAAGTGTCCGTTTACCAGCTCTAAGAAGCGTTGCTCCAGAGCTTTGTATTCTGGAGAGCTTTTGTTGAAGAGGTCATCAGAGAAGATCATGTTGGTCACCCTGAGGCTGAAGAAAACCATCAGTGCTCTTCCAGGGTTAGAGGGCATGGCGATACTGGCTTGGTCTGTGCCGTGTGCCACCCCGAACGGAAAGCTAGTACTGCCGTCCTCAGTGTGATTAATCAAACCATAACCGTACTGAATCAAATCATACTCCTGGTCTCCAGTGGTGGCATCATCAGGGTCTTCATCAATGGTCTGGATCTGTGGGATAAAAGAGGGGATTGTTTCTGAGCTGGTACTTTTCACATCTACCAAAATGTACAACAGTGTTTCCTCTGTTTTATAGTTGTGCCGCAAACTTCTAAAATGTTAAAGTGAAACTGAAATGAAATGTCAGAGCATGTCCCTGATTGTTTTGACTTACTGTCTGTCGACAGTTGGTCCAAATTGCATTTGAGAAAAAAATTATTTAAGATGTTTTTATCTACCTGGAGGGATAGCGCAGCAGATTTTATTTTTGGTTATTTTTATTTGTGCTGTATCAACGTGGATAGGCAGTAAAAACAGAATGAAAGAAAGTTTCACCTCCAGTGGCCACAAGGGAAGTTAGGGTCCAACATTGTTTGCTTTCAGTGTTACCCGAGTAGCGAGTACCCCCTATGACTTGTGATTTAAAACACTTGGTAATGAACCATGAGGTGAGGTAACAAGTCCCCTTGTTGCTACATTAAACACGGTCCTTTTGTAATGCATGACAAAACCTGCAGGAACTGTTCCTATCAATCAACACAGGTGTTGAAATAACATCAAAGAAAATAAATGTCTTGTGGGAATCAATGCTAATCTTAGAAAGTAAAGCTAATATGAGTATTCTCTTCATTTGAAAGAGAAACACTACGTAGACTTGGAAAAAAAGTTGAGTAGACATTTCGTATTAGTGTTTTTGCCATATCTTGAATCATTGCTAAGGGAAATGGTCACCTAGAAGCCTCATGTTTTTTTGTATTATTCAAATTTATGTTGGACTTTGTAAATTTGTCACATTTGCTACTTTTTGCAACATAAGGTTCTCGTCCGTTACCTCAACCACTGAAGAGATGATGACGTCAGGCTGCCCTTCAGAGGCAAGGTTTCCTTGATAGATACGGGTGAAAGGCGACTCTCTCTCTGGAGACAGAACAGTCGGTTTAGGAGGGCTCGGAGTGCCCGTCACCTCTAGCTCTGATTCCTCTTTGTCGACGAGCAGTATCTCATCCTCGGTAAGATCCTCTGTCGAGATGGCTGGAGCCTCTGCAGACTTTTCTTCTACTGCTGGAGCTTCAGGTGCGATCGCTTCCTTCACCTCTTGTTCCTCGCTCTGTGCCACTTCCTCTATGCCGCTCTCTTCGATTACATGAACCTCTGTGTACGTCTCCAGCTCTAGAGCGTCACTCACTGGATCTACAGCCGCCGTCGGAGGAGGGACCAAATCAGGCAGGCCTTCTTCTATGGTCTCAGTTGTGATTGTAGAGGTCTCCAGCTCTTCTGGGTTCTCTGCCTCCTCCACAACAAGCTCATTCAGATGCTCCTCTACCACTACTGCAGCGGTTGGTTCTTCTCCCACAGCAGTGACCTCCTTTGCACCTGCATTCGTGGTGACCTCCAGGTCTTCTGTGCCTGAACCAGAGGACTCAATTTCCACTGGCGGTTCGGGCAGAAGTACATCCGAGGGCTCCTTGATTGGAGGGTTTTTTACATCTTCCTTCAGCAAAAGACCCTCCTCTTCAATGCCTGGAAAAAACAAAGACAACAAGAAACTCAAGTCATTCTCTGCTGGGGCTCTTCTTACAGAAACTGTTTTTTTTTTCAGAGGCCACAAGATAAACTAGGATTTAAATCATTGGAATAAACTGTACATGCGAATGTGAGCTTGTGTTTTAGATGATGAACACTCACTGCGGGCTTCAGGTGCAGCCGTGGTCAGGACAGGAGCAGGAGACGCCACTGTGCTCTCCTCCAGGACGATGACATCATTTTCCGCGGTCGCCTGCAGCGCCCTGAGAACATCCTCCTTGTTGACATCTTCGTTGTCCTCTCTGATGATCGTGACCTCTTGTGGCTCATCTGCAGCTTTGACCTGCATCACAATCAGGCTTTGTTGTCTAATCTATTTACACATTTTCCATAGAGTGTGCCAAGCTATAGGAGTTTTAAGAGGCTGTTTTTAAATTTGCTGGTCAGGTCAATTCAAGCTCCTGCTAGTGCTCAGTTAGGTTTGACATCATTTGAAAAAGATATTATGCATCAACATCTGTCACTACGAGCAACTATGACAAAATGTACAACATAAACTTAAGGCGTAAACTTGGAATGTAACAATAAAAAACAATTTTGAGATGGAATATTATAGGCAGTCACGTGTGAAAAAGAAATATCGATTACACTTCTAATATGTTACACATATTTACTTGTAACCAGTTAATTATTAGCATGTATATTTAGGGCATCTTGGCTTTGTATTTCTTCTCATTTCTAACGTAGTTATGCCTTTTCCGAAGAGTTTTAATGACCATTTAATTTCTGCGTTTTGAATGTAAAGATGTTGTTGTACACCACAAAACAGAGCAGAGGAAAATAATATTGTAATTAATTTACAACTTACTGACCTGCTATCGATCTGCAGTTACTAGGTGACAGTCATTGAGATAAATTGTATCGTATCAAACATCCGAGTAGTTGTACAACATAGTTATGTAGAATAATGTGTTAATTAGTGCTTTATATTGACCAATAAAGAGCCAATATGTCATTATCGTAGATGCTGAGAAGAGATAGAAAATAGTGGATATTTGAACCTCGATAAAAATAATTACCTCATTAATAAGGCTTGAAGTTCAAAAACTTAGAATTATATACAACATATTTGTTAAAAGGTTTTTTTTAGTAAGAGCTTAACAACCAGCTGAAAGGTCATCTAAAAAAACATCCCCATGTTTGCCTGAAGTTTCAAGACTGTTCGAGACACATTGGACACAGCAGCAAAGTGAGAAGTCTACCCATCAGATGTCAGTTAGAATCTAACCAGATGATGTAAAGGTTCAGAAAATTAAATTATTATCTGGCTACTTCTGGCAACTGGTGTCAGCTGAACGCTCTTTTGCGATGGCGTCCAGTGCAGGCGCAGTCATAGATACAGAACGCTGATCACCCTTTTGCAAACTGATGTGTTTCTGCACAGTTGCCGTATTTAAAAAAAAAAAGCGCAAATTTAATTAGAAAATGTACGATCCTTGTAAAAAAAAAAACACACTAACTAAATGTTAAATATCCCACAGACTCCGTAGGTCTGAGCTCATGCCTGTAAATCAGTTACTAATGAGAAGTGTGCCAAGCCCTCCCAATACAAATAATGAGTCATATTAATCACTGAGCAAGCTGAGCTCTAAAGTGAACTAGCAGACACATTTAATGCAATCCAAACACTGATTAGCATCAAAGAGCGCAGTCTACCACAAGAACACCCGCAAGCGATGACTGACTTTGGATTGCATTGCTTGTCTGCAAAAAAATAACATGTGCTGTCTGTTTGCTTTACTATCTATGACAAGGTGTCCTGTAGCTTTTTTTACCCAAAATAGCAGTGGATTATTACCACAAGAGCCACACTAATCCTGAAAGCCTCCCTTCATCCTTGCTGGTGAGCTCATCCCCTACCTGCACTGGTGTGGTCTGGAGAACATCACAAGCCAGTTCCATGTTATTGCAACATCAGTCAAACTACAACTGCCAGCTTTTTTAAACACAAGTGATTTATCAACGTAGGGGAGCTCGAAGTAGCTGGATACCCTGGAGAGGGATTGTTGTCATGAGATGTGGAGGTAACTTGTTACTCACCGCGGCTCCTCCTGCGGTGTTAAAAGACTCGGGGACCTCAGACACTGTGGAACCAAGCGGGGAAACAAATATTAATTCAAACTGACACAAAAGAGGCAAATGAGCCATATGGCTGAAACAATCGTGCCTGCAGGAGTCTACAGAATCCTTTTAATCGTTACCATTTTCAGCACTGACTTTGTTTTGACAGCATCACCTTCGAGGGTAAATATCCACAAATCAGTGTTGAATCTGGAGAGAATATTAGCATCTCGCTGTGGGCCAAAGCAATTTCAGCATCACCACAAATGAGGAAAAACAAGGACAAGATGTGGCTTTTAGTTACCCCGCAGCCACACATGACAGCCATGTGAGAGTGTTTAGCTATCATTTGTCCAAGCCCATTCTTCATAAAAAGCATCAGCTGGCATTGATCTCCAGGGAAGCTTAACGAGCTCAGCGTTCTGCAGAGGATTATCTATCTTTCTAAATGATGTATAGATAAAGAGAAGCAGGGTTTCATATCTCTCCGTGTTCTTTAGGATCGTCAATGTTTGTGAAAGAAAGGGGGACTCCACCTCCATATCGCACCATATTAAATAGAGATTCGACAATAATGGGGTAAAGAAGCAATTCACTTAGCAGACGCTTTTATCCAAAGCGACGTCCATCAGAAAGTAAGAACACAAGCAAGGATCTAGAAAAAAGGGAACAATGTCAGTAAGAGCAAACGATCAGCTTTGAGTCTGATTGGACACACAGGTGCTGACAGGAAGTGACCAGAGGCAAAGCACAACATTGAGGGCAGTTCTTGAGAGCTCTAATCAGTATAGAAACCATCTTATAAGTCGTCGTTATCAAACAAAAACCATCGTCATTACCATCATCATCATCAATAATATGGAGACCATCATCATTAAGTTAGTAGGTATTCATGAAAGAGCTGGGTCTTTAGCTTTTTCTTAAAGGTGCAGAGGGACTCTGCAGATCCAATGGAGTTTGGAGCTCTACCATCATGACTTCTTGTATTTTAGCTAAACCAAACAACACCATTATTTTCTAGCCTTGGTGTGATTGATAAAACACAGCATGCCAGCCTCCAAGGATTAGAACTGATGTATAACACAACAGCATGAGCGAAAGACACACCGCCCTGTCTCATCCTGCAGGCTCATCATTTACCAACTCTTGGCTCCGTCACTACCCAGGATCCACTTGGTCTAAGCCAAAGTAAAGACTTGAGTACGGCTAAAAAAAACACCACGAGGGCTCGGATTTCAAACATCCTTTTTTCTTACCCGTCTCTCGCAGACCGTTAAATGATGAGGATTAAACTGTAGCGTTGAATAAATACACAGCTTCTATAACTGATGACTCTGTAATTTGTCCATTAGAAATGCCCCACTTTTGAGCCGATACTTTTTTATAAATATGTCTCTGTCCTCTTTGACGGAAAGAGCAGACAAATTAGAAACAGATGAAACTATTAAGTCCCTGGAATGTTTTCTCAAGTGGTGTAGTGCATGTAATAATATCAATGCTGGATCTAACGCGTCTCTATTTGATATGACACTTGGAGGTTTTCCCCTGCTCTGCTTGCACTCCCTCTGCCAACGCTTTCCCCCGATGACTTCACTGCCATGCCAATTAAATAAATAGCTCTAATGGTGGCATTTGTGTGTTCTGTTACAGTCCAGGGAGTATTTTTAAGATTCAGCCGTCGCACTCTGGCCAGCATCTTACCACTTTCCAGCTCGGGTGGCTGCATGGCTTCAGTGACAAAGTTTTTGATCTCGCTGATGGTGTAGGCTGTAGGACGCTTCAGCTCCATGACCTCGCGATATGAATTCTCCACCAGGTTGGACTGCAGGGTCAGGTAGTCCATCTGTTCATTGGTTGCTCCTTCTCCATCCACCACCAGTGTGACAGCAAAGTCTACCATCACGCCATCTTGCCTGAAGACAAAAATGCAAACCAGTTACATCTGATCCCTTCAGGACCGTGATATTCACTCCCAGGCTAATTTAATAGACACTCCTATAAAATGCAATGCAGTAGAATAGATGTTCCAAATTAGATAGATTATAATCTTCAGTTATTCTTGGCTTTGTTGTATATTTCATGTGGAGGATGCGTTGGTGTTGTACTAGACTAGATTATATTTATAGGTGTTTGTAATAACAAGAGAAGAGCTGGACAGACCATTGGACAAAACAAGATGATTTAAGAGGTAATTTTTCTCTCTTAAAGGCTTTATATGTGATTTTTTTGATCCAGCAGATGTCGCCCTTGAGCACCAGCATGAAACCAAAACAACTCGCGCTGCATTGTTGTGTTAGCATGCGATCTTTATTATGCTCATATCTTCACACTGCATGTAAATTTACCTGAAATGAGCGTGATCTAGAAACACAGTTAAGCAGTGAGTACAGTATGTTATTCTTCTTTTCTCTAGTCCCTCAATTAAACAACTTTTATATATGAGGGGAGGAGTCAGCCGGCCGTCCTGGCGGTGTAAACAAACTGAAGATAGGACTCTGTGAAAGCATCACAGACAGTGGGACTCGGGTGTTACACCCATTGTAGACAGTCATGACTCACAGAGTTATTTTCAGAGGATATACTTGATTTCTATTATATTTAAGTGTGAAAAATCGCATTTCAAGCCTTTAATTGCACGGACTGATATTTCATTACATTTTCTGAAATCTGAAAGACCAAGTAAAGCACTAACTGGATTTGCTTCTCTGACTTTTTTGTTAATGGCCGTCGTACAGCTCCACAAGAGCAATAAAACAGTTGAGTGTTTCTTGCTTCTTTTTTTCACATATTTCCCAGTCAAAACACTTGGACCTAAACTGCACCTAAACAACATTTTCACATTTATCTTATAGACGTGTGTACTAGGACGAGAGTATGAAATAACGTCTCCTGGACCCGAGACTACTTTTCTTTGACGATGTTAAATCGCCAAGGCATTAATGCGTTATTATATATGTCAAACCTGTTGAAAAAAAACATTCTCGAGCGTTCACAGATGACTGATGACTTAAGAGATTTACTCCCGCTTGGTATGCACACGCTCAACCGTATAGGCCAAAAAACTGCAAAGTCAGCAGAATGATCAATATCATCATAATAAACATGGAAAGCCTCACAACAGATTCCAGGCCATGGAAAAAAGCAATTTATCAGCCTAAATTTGACTGCTGGGAGCCCTCCACTGTGACCTAGTTTGACGGGTTTCTGGCGGACTGCTGAGCACATGCGAGCCCACAGTCGGCTGCATTTAGATCCAAAGTTTTCCCCATTTAATTTCACACACACACACACACACACACAGAGGCAGACAAATAAAACTCTACCGCTTTTGTGCCCCATGACCTGCAATCAATGGTAGCAGACTAAATGAATCACTGCATCACTGTTTGCCATTTAGTTAATAGAAAACGATTACAAGGAGAAAGCAGAACATATGAGTCATGTCAGGTTAAAGAAAAATGGCAGCTCAAAATAGTTAATAAAATTGGTTAATTTAGCTCCACTTTGACTAACTGCAACAAATATAAAGAATTAAAGCAACTAAAAAAGTGTATTCTTTTCGTTTTGGACAAAGCAAGGCATTAGCAGCTGGTTAGCTTTGTGCTATGCAAAGCTAACCAGCTGCAGCTAAATATTTAACTAATTGAATTTTTACCCCGCCAGAAAATGATGAGTGTATTCCCATAAAATTTGTATCTATTGTTTAATTTTAAAAAATCAGAATGAAGGACCATTAAGGAAACTTTGAATCCTTCTTCCACCTGCAAGACACACACTCACATCATTACCCACTGACTTCTCCACCTGTGCTTACTTGCGTCTTTTTCTATTCCGCTCTTTTGCTCCCCTGACACACACAACCTCTTTCCCTCTAGCCCTCCTGCACGGTCGTAAAGCCCAGATAATCGTCTCTATGGAGGAGCACCTGCTCACTCCAGTGAACCCATCCTGATCCCACTTACCAGGTGAGTGACCACACTAAGACCATTAACACAGGCAACCAGAGACACGTCTATACACGTGCCCGCATTCACAGGGGAACATGGTGGGAGATGAAGGTGACACCACCACACACACGCCCGTGGGTTCTAGGTAGACAATGGCTGGCAGGGATCTGGAGGCTTAAATAGAGCACAGGAAGGGAGACCCATACAAGGTTAAACTACCACTATAGGACAGAACTTTTGACTCACCCTTGGTTGTCCTTCTCGGGTCTATTTAAAGGAGAGATAAAATGTGTTCATGCAAACATTTGATTACATCGATATTCGATCGAGATTCACAGCAAAGGGACTTACCTGAAGTCGAGCACAGACACACTCCTAAATCCAGGAAGCCCCTTCAGAGCGTCTGTTATCTGCAAGAACAAAATCAGGCATTAGGAATGAGTTCAAAGTACTTTTGTGTCTTTTCGTGCTTTACATGACTGCTCTGTGGTCATCTTTTGCTTCTATACTACGAATAAAACAGTCCATATCCCGTTTTTTGACTCCCCCTGACCACGTTTATTTATTCCATTAAAGATAGAGGATGAAAATAGGTCTCCAGGGCCTTAAGTCTCCCAGCTTGTCCTCCATTTCCCTCCCCTGTAGCTCTGAATCTTGAGCCCCTGTCCTCCCTTCTACTTCACTTCCTCTACATCGACTTGTAATCTCTTTCAGGCATGAGAGCTTATGTGAACGCAGTAAATCAAGTTTTGCAGAAGTCTTTCATATGGCAGATTCGGGCAAGAAAAATATCAGTTCAACGACTTAGAGAGAGGCCTTGCCTTGAAGACAAAAAATTTGAATATATGCTCTGAATATTACTTTTATCTACATGGTATGCAAGTGCCTTATTACTTCAAGGAAAAAGTACCGAAATAAATGTATTGCCTTTTTCAAGTTCCTGTAAAACTCCTTTAGGTGCTTCCAAAGCTACGTACCTGTACACACACCAGGTACACCAGACACAATACACATTAGAACACGTAATGCATACAGATAAAACTTGTGCTTTTGAAGTCTAGCCTAACAGTTTGGATTTAACTACCCCTGCTGCTAAAGTCTGTGATATAAAAGCTAACAACGCATCCATCACAGACCATAAACCAGAGGATCTAGTAGAGAACAGACTGAAGCCAAGATACAGTAGCACTAAAGGGAGTCATAAAGAGAGACAGACAGAAGCAGTTGGAGCCAAAGACAGACCTTTTCAGCGAGCTGTGTGCTGAGTGTTTGGTACTGCAGGCTGCTCGGATCGTCCAGGTTGTTGCTGAACGTTTCTCCGGTCAGGAGGATGCTGAGCTTCACCACCTGTTCCAGCACAGCAGGAGTGGGAGGCTGCACGGCAATGTCGTTGTCCAGCTGTGAAAGAAAAATGAGAGCTCTTGTAATAGTACATTTTCTACACCTACACTTGAGTATCGCTCTGATACTAGTGAGATAAAAAAAAGGCTTTATATGTGATTTTTCAGACTTAAATGTAGAAATCAAGTATATCCTCTGAAAATAACTCTGTGAGTCATGACTGTGTACAATGGGTGTAACACCCGAGTCCCACTGTCTGTATGCTTTCAGAGTTTTCAGAGTCCTATCTTCAGTTTGTTTACATCGCAGGACGGCCGGCTGACTCCTCCCCTCGCATAAAAGTTGTTTAATTGAGGGACTAGAGAAAAGAAGAATAACATACTGTACTCACTGCTTAACTGTGTTTCTAGATCACGCTCATTTCAGGTAAATTTACATGCAGTGTGAAGATACCAGCATAATAAAGATCGCTAGCATTAGCATGCTAACACAACAATGCAGCGCAAGTTGTTTTGGTTTCATGCTGGTGCTCGCATATAAAGCCTTTAAAAGCCATGTGTGTGTGTTGGCTGGCGTACTTCACAATAACCAATAATGCATTTTAGGCAGTATTGGAGCCATCTCCGGTACAGGTATCAGTGTGAGAACAAATATAAAAGACATAACCCTATATATTACTCAAGCTTGCACATTAGTAAATCTGTGCGTGTGTGTGTGTGTGTGTGTGTGTGTGTGTGTGTGTGTGTGTACACACTGAGCTCTCCTCCAGGACTGGGATAATGTCGTTTGCGTTGTCCCCCATGTCTTCTTTAGTGATTTCTTCGAATTCTTGCACTTGGTTCAGTTCTGGGGTAAAAAAAAAAAAACGAGGAAGATTTGGTTTATTTCAAAGTGCTTTGATTCCCGCTGACTGTATGCATGATTACACTGCCCTGATCCTTAGTGCTTTTTAAATCTCAGGTAGGAGTGGGCTACAGCCAACTTGCATGCCAAACATTACCAAGTCACTAACTGACTGTACATAAACATAAACATGAACATTTTAAGAATATGAACACGTCAAAGACAATGCATGGGGCATGTGTGTCACTCACCAAGCTCAGGGGCCTCAATAGATTTCGGTGTGTCAGGTGTCGGAGTGCTGAGAAAGAAAAAAAAAACTGTTAAATAATGCTGATAGAAAAAGTATTATTATAACCTCGTGGGCACAGATACAAGAAGACTGAGAGGATATGGCTGTTTTATTTTTTTTACTTTTTTACTACAAATCCCCATAACATGCCAAAACCAGCCGACCAGTTTTCATTGCTTTTTGTTTGTCTGTTCTTGAGAAAAAATTCTACTACCCTGATTTTAATTCAACCTATCCAGGTCAGACTCAGAAACAAGCAATAAAAATATCATCCTCTGGTTACTTTTTAATGGTTAGCTTTTCTTTTTTTTTTTCATTTCATGGGATTTGTTGCAAATAATAAAAAGATAAAAGAATGCCAGAGTGTTTTTGTTTTAGGCTGAGAACATTTGAAATCACATATACAGTAAAGCTTAGATAGAAGTATCTAATCTAATAAAAAACAAAATAAAACAAAAACAAAGGAAACAAATGAACATGAGACTCTGAAGTCTTTATATGAACAGGTAAGGTTGAAGAGCTTTAACAACCTCACCTGCACATATGTTGCCAGGACCTCGTGGGCTCACTACAGACAGTGGGAAAGATGACACATTTACAAAACACACACTTTATGACACGATCATAACTTCATGAATAAAATGGTGGATTAGCACTGGTGGAAAGTACTGAAGTATTTTCCTTTACCTGTTTAACACTGACGCTCTCTGGGGAATAGAAAAAGATAAAGGGTTGAGTTTCAGTAACAGCCACCTGTTGAGTATCAGGATCGGTTTTACTTACAGATGCTTCATTGCTCCACTTACCTTTTTAACCAGGGCCCGATGCTCCTCTGATTGGCTGAAGTAGGTGCCAACATCTTGTGCCGTGACTGCACCCTCCTGGCATTTGCTCATCCAGCTTTGGTACTCGTCTTGTTCTGGCAGACGGTCCCAGAAGATCTTGAAAGCCTCCCATATGGTTTCCTGGCACACTTATTAGACCAGAGAAAGACACAATGGACTTAGAAAACCCATTGAACCTGTTTCCAAATAACTTTGGTTGGAATGACATCTAGACGGACGAATCAAATCTTTGTGATGGTCTCAATTTGTCCTTTAGCAGGTAAATTAAATGCAAATCATGACAATAAGACCTTCATATTATTAGCTGGAGGTTGGGAGAACCTCCATTTCCATGTTATCCCCATGACATGACCTTTTTCCTGAATCAGCCTACACAGCATTGATCCAAAGACAATGAACAGACATGTTATTCTTAAACCGTGTTCTTTAATCAACACTGTCCATGAGAGTGAGTCACCACAGGTCATCTCCAAATCCAACCCAGCTTACATAACAAACCTCAACTTTTCACAGACACAGAGTCAGACTGTCGCTTGGCGCCAACAATGACAACTGTCTTTGTCTAAATTTGGCTGCCCATGAAATGACACCTTGATTTCTGCCAACTGCTGCACAACTGCAATTTGTTCTAGCAATAAGTGTCATTTTATATATATATATAGATATAAGAAGATAAAACACTAATTCCCCTATATAAGAAATTATATCTTCCCACTAATTTCTGGAGGTTACAGTCTGTCAATGGTGAGGCACGAACAATTTAGATTATATCCTTAAGAAATAGCATTTAACGAGATAAATACTCTTTTACACTTAAGAGTCTTCTTTATTTGTAATATTATGCAATTAAAACTACAAAAAATGGGTTAGGGTTAGTGTAAAGGCAAATCCCCCCCATGCATATTATATGATCAAATATTCCCTTATTGGTTGTTGGTTGATAGTTTATTCGATAATGTTTATGTAAATGCTGGTGAAATGTATATTTTATGTTTAAAATGAACAAAGCAACTTGTACTAAAGGCTCTATTATACAAGTGGTGCCATGAGAAGTATCATAATTCTGTCTGAAATGTTGTGAGTAAAATTATAAAGTAGTAAGAACTTTAAAACTCGAATGCAAGGGCCTCAAAATATTATACATTTGTTCACAAATTTGAAAAATTGCGTTATCAATTACTTAATTAGATCCCACAACTTTGGCCAGTGTGTCCTCTCCAACTCAGAAGTTTCTGCTGAAAAAAGGCGGTAAAAGCTCATTTATTTTTTAGATATTTTTGTCAAAGTTCGACTTTTCAAATGCCTCATCCGGAAAAAAATCTCTAAAAAAAATCCCTAAAGACATGCTGGTGTTGATTATTTTTAGATATGTTTTCTGACTTGAGCATCACAAAGAAATTCAGAATAAAATTGATATTAGTAGCTCTAGCCTACTGCATGTGTTTGAAGCTTTTTTTCCTTATTAACGACTCAAGTCACGTCACTTGTTAAAACAAATATATATTTATTTAGGGGTTAAAGTTAAGAAGAAGTAAGTTTAACAGACATTGAAGCTTGAGCCTCACATTTAGCTCGAAGCTAAAGGCACCTGACCAAGCTCTGACCCAACTGTCAACACTCGAGTAGCATTCTGGGAAATGTAGGAGCCATGTCTTTACAAGAATGAAGAATACAAGGAAGAAACATATTTAGTTTTGCTGGATGTATTTTTAAAGTTGTTAATATTTTTTATTAATGTCAGCTCTTAGCATCTAATAATTTCAATGCTAAATCAGCAGACTTCTCTTTTTTAAGAGAAGTCTGCTGATTTAGACTACATATTTAAACCTACATATTTAAACCTTGTCACAATTTAAAAAAAATATCTGCAACATGTTTGAATCTGCACATACCTGAGATAATAAGAACAAATGTTTCTTTTTAATTTGAGCTGACCTTGAAAGGATTTATATCTAGCACATCAGAAGTTGACCTGTTTAAAATGCAAATCTCTTAACACCTAATTGTAACTAGTGTCCACACAGATGTCAGCTGACATGCTCCTGGACCTCTCGGGGTAAGTTTAACAAAGGTTAAAACTCTTACCGGTTGGATAAATTAGTTTGCAGACACTGCACCTTACAAAATTATTCAAAGATATGAATTATTGTTGCTGAAACCACTTCCTGCCATGTAAATATCCATATAAAATGTATAGAGATCTTCTCAGTTCAGTCTTACCTCTGAGGTAAAAGTAGCTCAAGTGGTTTGCAGCTACTTGCTCGACGGTCTCTTGAAAACAAAGCTTGATTCCACTCGGGAAAAAGATGTTTCGTTTCCGTCTGGGGATAACTGCAAGGTCCTCACTTAAAATCTTGTCATCAAATGCAGGAGCAACATCAACACCTGGATACACCTCAGGCTCCTGGCTGTAAGGCAGATTCAGGTAACCCATAGCAGAACCTTCCTGTGTTGCAACTGGAATGCCACAGTGACAAATAAACAACACATTTTAGTATTGTACTTGTACAGCACTTTCAGTAAGTGGAATGAAAGAAGATTTCAATGATACATACCTGTCCTTATATCCAAAAAAATAAATAAAACTGAATACAAAAAACATCTCCACGACACAATCTTCATGTTAAATTCGTAAATGTGTTTAATTCCGAGGAGTTGGAAAAGGATCAAGTAGATATGTACTTCCTCTCAAGTCATGTAATAGGAGCGCTAACAGCTTCTTACAAGTTTGCATAGTTCAGAAGTCTCCAGGTGCAGAAAGATCACAGAAGCCCAAGCTAAAAAACATGAAGTGGCACTCTATGACACGCTGGTTTCCTTCTTTCCCCCTGCAGCTGAATAGAGGTGTAGCCCGCATGGTGCTGAAAGGACAGCTCCACGGTCAGGTAGATAGGCAGATGGCTCTTGGAGAGAGGAGGATTTTTTAATGCTCTGTAATCCTGTTTACTCTAAGCCTTTTAGAGGAGCTCGCCAAGAAGTTACTGGAGCAACAGTGGGAAGGGGTGGGTGCTTAGCGTGGAAGAAACATGGACGGAGGTGAGCTACACAGGCCTCAGAATCAACAGCACATTCCAATACGGATCATTACATTTGGTATATTATGATAGTGCATTGTTTTTTCAAGCAGAATTTGAATGATTTCTGCAGGAGAAGCAAATATTTGCCTCTAAATAATGTTGTAATCCTCCAGTTTAAGGACCGTCTCTTTAACTGTTATAACGGACATTTGAAAAAAATCCATCTTTTTTTAGATTATAAATTCTTTCATGAGCACTGATAATTTGTATAATCTAAAAAAAAAACTCTGTACAAAGAACCACTGCTATTTGTAGACATCTTCAACACACAGTCCCCTTTCCCCTCCCACACACACACATACAGACCAATGATGCGTCAGGTTGGTCCAGCAGCTGAGACCATGAGCTAAGGAGCAGTGACTGAAATCCTCTCAGTATGTATATATTAACAACAGTGAGAGTTGTGCAGCTTAGCTTTGAGTCAACCTTTAACCCCCAAACACTTCCCCGTGGGCTTTATCCTGTTTTTAAAAGGGAAAGCGTTCTGTTCTTATCTCTAAGTGGCTCCTTTGCGTACGGGAAAAGAAAGAGATAAGAAAGGAGCATGTAATGAGGGCCAACAACCTTAGGGTCTATATAATTTAAATGACAAAAAAAATTAATTAATTAATATTACATATCATCTACTTATCCAAGATGCTCTGTTTAGTATTTTAATTTATGTGGGAATGTGTTAATACGATATGATTATGTCCCGCCATCACCAAAATTAACATGCTAATAAGCCTAAAGGATAATGCTAATATCTTGGTGCAGGTACACCATTAACCATGTTCATAATATAAGCTTTGCTAACATTTTCCAATTAACAATTGCAATACAGTGCCATGTCTTTGTTTTGGGTGAAGACGTTAAAATCGGACACAACTGTAGTGTTAGTGTAGTGAAAATCATTCGGATACATCCTCTGGAGAACATGAATCTAATAACCCATTCTTTTTATTTCCAACAGTTGTTTGGATAGTTAATTATAAACCGCAGTTACAACCTCATGGTGGCGATAGAGGGGGTCACTTAAGTTATGATGGTTCATCCTCTCTGGGGACCATAAATGTCTGAATTTAATTTAATGGACATCCAACAGTAGAGGGGATCTTTAACTGAAAAAATGATTTATTTTACATATTTAAAATACATTTAAAATCATCGTTGTTAGACTAGCAGTTTCAACGCTGCTCGCTGCCTTTAATGCGACATATTGCACAGCTGACTTCATATTTCCTCTCGTCTTTAAATAGTGCAAAAGGGAGTTTTTTTTTTAAACAGGAATATTCTAGAAAAATTAACTTTGTACAGTGAACTGTTGACAAAAACTGAAAAATGAAATATCAGGGCTAACTCAAATCTATATAATTTATTCTCACCATGTAAGGTGCATTACAAATTAAATGTATTATTATTATAATTATAATTTGTCGGTGGGCTAGGATTAGTTTGTGCGCCTCATGTACAGAGGCTGTAGACCTGGAGGCGGGCGGTCCAGTTTTGAATTTGACCTGTGGCTGAAGGTTTATTTTTGGGCTCTCTGTGCCTTCATTTTAGAGATATGACAGTGGACAGAGCTGGAAATCAGGAGAGAGATTGGGGAAGGACATGCGGGAAAGGAACCACAGGCCAGACCCGAACCCGGGGCCACCTGCTTGGAGGACCATGCCTTTGCACATGGGGTGCACGCACCAACCGCTAAGCTACCGCAGCCCCTGACAAGTGGCTACTTTACCGCATATCATTCCCAACTTTCTCACCGATTTCCGACTCTATTCACCGTCCTGTCTCTCCAATAAAAGTTCAGAAATAATTCATTAAAAAAAATGAAATACCCATGCATCCAGTAGTTGTTGAAAAATACATGCGGCCCCCATCAACCCTCAACGTGGCCCTCAGGTAAATTTTTACATATCAATTAATAGGGAACATGAAGAAAAACATGACAAAATATGCCATGAAATCATGAAAACCAGAAGTATGTGCATAATAATATTGATCGCTGGTATATGTTGAGTTAAATTGGAGAAAAAATTGACTGTAGGCGTTTTTGTATCCTACAATTTGGCCCTCTGGCGGTGAGAATGAAATGAATGTGGCCCTTGCTGTGACCAAAGTTGCCCATCCCTGTCTAGAGCTTCTGGCTCTTATACATGGGAATAGAAGTTGGCAAGAAAATGTTAACTTGTGAGTTCCAAGGACTGCTTTAACCTGTGCCTTGATATCATGAACGCTTAACAGTGTAGCCAAGTAGGCCTAGAAGGTTGTGGTTTATCCCTTACTGCCCTTCTACCTCCATGTTAACACTACTAGTGTGTGCTATCTTTTGGTAATATACACATGAATGCATGCTCTTTAGGTACACCTGGATCATATGAAATGTTGTAAAGGATGTTTGAAAGATGTTCAGTGAAAACGTTTTTATGCTTTTGAGTAGATTAGAGTGCTGTTGGAGCGAATTCTATTCTGTAGAGAAGTGACTAACAACGTGCAGGGGATGTGGGGATTGGGGGGGATTGTTACTCGCTGTCAGACAGTGAGGGGATCTGACAGTCTGAGACAGTAAACTCACCTAAGCCGACCACGTAACCCTCTGAACAGATTACATTGGAAAGCATTGTTTCGCACTCGACAGGTATTTCCAAACGAAGCCTTTTGGCTCCAGAAGAGAGAAGTTGGCTCATCTGTTCAGAAGATTTATTTACAGTAGGTTAATAAATAAAATAGTTTTCAGAAGATCAGCCAAAAAAAACTATGTAATACATAAAAACATATAATTCTACTGATTTACGACACAGACATTCAGTCTCTGTTTTAATAACCAAAGGCTAATCCTCATGTTGTGATCCAAACATCTGGGACAAGATGTCAAGAGTCAGGAACACCCCAAAACATTGTCCAGTTGGCATTTGTCATGAAATACATCATCATCAAAAAGCTTTAATAATGAAACTATCCCACATTGCATTCAAAGAATAACAAGCGTAATTTTGTCTACAAGATTTATTACAACATTGAAACCAAATATAGTTTGGATTCAGCTCCTGCACATTCATCCATGTCTAAGAAAACATTCTGAGCAAAAAATGTTTAAAAAGACGTACAAATATGAACAAAAAAGGGGAAATAAAACTACAAGGCTATCAAGTTTGACCTCTCTTGACAAGTAGGCAACATTAGTGGTGGATATTGTAACGTCTCTTTATTTAGCAGGTTTTACTGTTAGGGGTAAATTGGTACATATTTTAATGTATGTGCACCCGTGAGCTTTTCAAATGTGGACGGATAAATAGTAATGCCAAAAAGATGAAAGACCTTAATGCCAAATCAGATCGATGTCTGATAGTCTGTTATCCCGATTCGATCTGATTCTGTAAACATGAGCAGGTTTAAAGAATCAGTCAGCATCACTGTGTCCCAATATGAGTTTTGATTGTTTTGCAACAAAAAAAGACAGATTTTCAAAGGAAATGGAAACATACAGCAGTTTATGTTAGTTAAAAATAGCAGGGGATGATCCCATCATCATCGGTAGACATAATCACTCTACTATGTGGTGCTGGCAAACTAACTGGGGGAGGGACGGAGTGACGCATTTTGTTCCAAATGTATAACCATACATGAAACAACAATGATTCATATAGACACAAAAAAATGAAAATAAGGAAGGAAACTTCAGTGCACTTTATTTAAATAAATCCTATGCTGTCATTTTCCTCTGATGTCTCACTAGGAGTGACAAGCTCAAATGCTTATTAATAGTTAATAGTGCAGTACTACCGTGTTAAAGATTTGCAATATAAACATCATGGATCTCCACATAATAAGTATACATTACAGCTTCTTGATCACTAGACGAGTAAATATGACCAGGTGGAGGTGATGCTGCCCAAGTGGTGAGTTTACGTCTGAGTTTGAATCCGATCTGAGTTTTTTTTTTCTCATGTTATTCCCCACTCTCTCGCTACCTGATTTCTGACTCCATCCACTTTCCTGCCACCCCAATAAAAAGGCACAAAATGCCCAAAGATTAAACTGAAAAAAAAAAAAAAAATGACCAGTTGTTCGAGGTAGAAAAAAACACATTTGATACCCCACTAGCTAACAGTGGAGTCATAACAGCATTCAACCAATGTAAAAGCAAACATTGCCTTCAGCTAGTTAACATTACAGCTAGCAAGGACTTACTACTTTCTCACAGTATTGCATTATTTTATCTAACAGAAATGCTAGCACACATTGTAGTCATACAGTAGCTAGTGCGTTCTCAAATATGTTACATGCCAGATTTTCTACCTTTGTATGACGTACAAAACTGGAACAATAGCTGTGAACAATCCATTTTTATTTGAGCTTCCTACCCTGTGATGAGCGTGACATTGAAGGAAACATGGCCAACCTGTGTATGTGTAGAGGACTTACACATAGAGGTATGTGAAGTGTTCATGTGGTTCAGTAATCCAGAAAAGGAGTTTTTTATGCAAGGAATAAAACAACGTTTTCGATTGGAGACCCCATTACTGAGACTGAAGTATTTGACATTTAAGTGTTAAGCAAAGCAAGCAAACTAAAACTGTTTACAATCTGCTGTTCAAACATTGCTTAACTGTTCTACTCTTACATTATTTTTGTTTGTCTTCGAATTCTATGTAAAAAACTTTTAAATACATAAAAAGGCTTTAAAAAAATATCTTGCAGCTTTAAAACAATCAGTAAAAAGCCAGAGGGGGTACAAACATTGTGCGTGGGCTGTACATGGCTATACTGGATCTACTGTTAGGACTCTTTCTAGTTGAAAGACCTGCGACCTGTTTTATTTATAATTAATCAATAAATTCTTCACTCACAGGAACAAAAGAAACCTAATGCATGAAACAAAAACAGCATCAAATATAAAGAGAAAATCTTTTCATTTCACTCTGAAATGTCCATCACTCAGTATGAGCAGAGATTGATAAAGGCTACAGGAATGTGATGCACTGAACAGCAGAGCTTCAACGTGCGTCTATCTGTGTGCATCCAGGTTTTGTTTTCTGTAGAGGTGAAGTACTAGATCTCTGATTTCGTCCCTTTTCCTCCGCACCTGCTGCCGTGGAAACCAACGTTCTAGGTGTAGAGGGAGGTCAAAGTGCACCACGGGATCCTGGGAGCAGAAGCAGAGACACAGTTTCCCATTACCTCATCATTTAGACATCACAATTTAAAAGCTGTGGCTTAATATTACAGCGGCAATCTTCACCTTTAAAAAGCTCTCGACATACTGCAGCAGGTAGAGGCCGCAGTCACTGCTGTTGTCCTGAAGGGGAACTTGGCAGTGAGAGTTTAGCATCTGGTCAGGACTGAAGTCCTGTGATGAACCACGACGTACCTCCCATTCTGATTGTAAGTAGCTGCGAGACAAATACCAGTGAGCTTCAAACATTTAGAGAAACACACACCGGCAGCAACAGAAAGATGAAGTGTCATACTTACTCCCTTAAGAGTTTAAAGACTCGCTCATGAAGAGAAAGTTTGAGAGAATCCATGATAAGAATACACGGCCTAAAGAGATAAGCACATCGGTTATTAATGTTTGAATCCACATGAACATGCAAATACAACAATGTTGTTAGATGAAGGTTGCACAATCTGAATATTTTCTTAAATATGCGTTTTTAAAAACGATCCATATGCCGGTTCTGATATAGTTAATGTAAGACGTAATAATGATAGATCCATGACTTTGGAGACTTGATGTGGAAAACCAAACTTTCCATTCATATATATATATATAAAAATAATGATATGACAGTAGCTGCTCCAGATACACAGTAACTCTGTGGACCCACACACTCACCTCTTGCAAACTGTTTTTCTCTGGCAGGTCTGCTCTGTGCAGTCCTACAAACGAAGAATAAAATAAGGTGAGCACATTTTAAAGAACTGTTTATATCATAATATTAAAAGGGAAAATATTTTTAGTCCTTGTGAGCAGAACTCTTTCTTACCACTGGACCAAGTGCTGGATCTTTGGTGGATTCTCCTGGAGCTTTTTCTAAAATACATGAAACCAGTCATTACCTACAGCTCTGCAATCACATCATAAATTAAGTGGATAACCTATGCATTAAAAAAAAAAAGCTTTTTTTCAAACATACCCGTCCCTGTGTCCACGTTGTCATTCTTGTCTAGTGTAGAAGGAACCTCTGTGTTATCATTTGGGCTTTTCGATCCTTGAGCCGGCTCTTGTTCCTGTAAATCTTTGGTTACGTCGTTGCTACTCCCATTATTTGAGTTTTTACTGTTCCAGGCCTCATGGGTTGGTTCCTTCATTCCAGGAAGCAAATGACGACTAAATACCAATGAGCTCTAAACAGACAGAAGAGCAATGTGACATGATGTGTGATTCTTCAAAAAAAAAACCTCTGAACAATACATCTCTTTTTTTTTTGTATTTCACTCACTCCTGATTGACAGGCACAAACAGGAAGTCCTTTTCGAAGATGTCCACATGGCGGGTCCATGTTTTCACCCGTTGATGCCGCTTCTGTCTCTGACAGCTGGGTACACAAAAAAAAAAAATGTTTAGCTGTGGGTGTTAAAATGTATACAGGATCTCATCTAAACTTAAACACCATAAAGCTTCAGTAAGCAACATTATTTCATTAGAATATTCGATTAACTTAGCATATTCTGATTATTGCATATCACTGACAATACATGGGTTAAAATTTCCGTTAAATAAATGTGGACCTGATCTGTGTCTGTGAACATCCGCCTCTTTGGATTTATTGTATAAAAGAATTATCCAGAGTGAATCAAAGAACCAATCAAGGTCAGCTTGCACATAACTAGCCGACCATCTGTACAAACTAGAATCTTCATTGTATGTTAATTCTGTCTGCAGCTATCTCTCTTTCTCTCTTTCTCTCTCGGTTCTGATGATAGCTGTGCAACACACACCTGTTGTTATACTTTAAAGTTATTTATTGTACAGTGATCGACTGTCCGTGTTCCTGTGCTGTACAACATAACTATAAGACTTTTGAACACAAAAAATAATCCCTCCATTCCCCTCAAACCCCCAAACAGGACTACACCCACACAGTCCCCACACTGGATTGTAAAATACAATATAACATACATCACAAACGTGCAATATCTTTATCTGTATAGAAATTTTATACATAGCTTTTCTTTTTATATCTATTTATATCTGCACCTTATTTTACTATGTAAATACTTGCTGCTGTTTTAATCCTGCACTACAACGAGCCAAATGCAACGAAATGTCGTTCTTAACACTTGTTTGAATGACAATAAAGTCTAACTAGCTAAATGGAACAGGCAGCTTCAGTGAAACTTGTTGGCCTTCAGGTTCGGTGCATCATGTGGTGGGAGGGGCTCAGCTGAGTGGTACAAGGTTGCAGAGGGAGAGGAAGGTTTTTTTTTCTTCATAGGATGTTCACGTTGTCTACTGTCACTTTAAGTTGTGTCTAAACAAACAAATATGAACAAGATAGAAAATAGTGTACAATTATTTTTATCACTTCTTACGTCTCATTGGTGTTTCCTTCACTGGCATTGTCTCTCCGCGTTAGCTGCTTGAAGAAGAAGCTGCTGAAGATGTGGCAGCGTT